CGCTTATTTTGGAACAGGGAAAGATAAGGCATTCTCTATAACACTGCAGACATTTCACTTGTAAAATCTTTGCAGTCATGCTATAAGCTTGTTTTCCACTCTGTTTTCCTTCTTCAAGTCTCCTCTTGAGGCTAATTTAAATTCCTCTGCATGCATATTTTTCTTCCCAGTGATGGTTTCAAATCATTCTCTTCTGGGATCCTTCAGGTCCTTTATTGAAGAGCAAAGCTGGGTCCAGAATTTGGCTAAAGCTTCCTCTATGCTGGGCACACTGATAGAAGTATTTCTGACATCACTGCCTTAAATATTGGACTGTACACTCCAAAATGGCCTTTGTCTTTTACACTGCGCTGATGTTGTTGACTGCTGTTGATCTTAACATCCCACTGTATTCCCTAGATATTTTCTGAATTATTTTCCATGGAGCCAGCTGTTGCTGGCTGCTGGACAGCTGATTCTTTCTGCACATACTGAGGTTCATCCAGCTGTTCTCAGAATTTCTCCAATTTATCAAGAACAAGTTCAGTTTCAATCCTGCCTCTAAAACTATCTTCAACACTTTCCATTTCATGTCATTTGCAGGTTTAACAAGGGTGCTGTGTGTTCCGTCATCCACAGTATAAATACAAATGCTGGGAAAATTAGGTCCTGATTCAGGATGAGTCTTCATAGAATGCTGTTGCTACCTCTTCCATTTGGACATGCCACATTTTAAATTCCTCTTTTAATATAATTTTACAGGTTTTGTTGTTGATTTTTTGCATCCAGGCTACCCTATGCATATCCAGACTTTTTTTTGTGTGTGCACTTGCTTATAAGAATTCTGTAAAAGAAAATTCAAAAACCTAAGCAAAGTCCAAATATGCAGCTGCTTCTATGCAGCTGTTTCTTCCCTTCACTAACACCCTTAAACCACTATGCTGGCTGTTATTCAGCTCGTTTTTCATTCGGGTACTTAGAACATATTTATTTTTCTAGGATGTTTTTTCCTTTTGAAGTTACTGAGCTTTTACTCCTCTGTCCTTTCCCCACTTTAAAGGATAGAGCCTGTACTTAGGCTTTTCCCCTCATCTGTCCTCAGATGTCCTTCTCAAAAGTAACTGCTAATGTGTATGAAACTGTTTCAGGCAGTTTTTCACATATGTCAGACAGATGTTCATCAGGTTCAGCCAAGTTAGCAAGACATCATTCTAAGTACTGCCCAAAAAACTCATTCAGGCTATACATTTTTTAACATTTATTTATGCTTCTCTCACTGATGTTACCTGTACCAGCCACCTTCACACCTTTTCAGTGATGAGTGAAGGAAAAAAATCTGACTTTTGCATTTCTGCTCTCCCCCACCCTGTTCCTTACTGGGTTTCTTTGCTTTACATATCAGTGTTAATGCATTTAACTTATGGTGTCTTGAGTTGAGTAGTGTGCTGCCCATGGACAGAGAGGAGGGAGCCAAGAGGGACTGAGAGGAACCTCTTATTGCTAACGTAGATTGCCACAGTTTTGAGGAGGTGAAGTGGCTTGTGCTAGGTAGAAAAAAAGGAGAGCTACTTGAAAACATTTGCTCATAGGCTGTAGTGAACAATGAACAAATGTTAGAATGTGGCATGTAATGCAAATGCTCCACTGTGTTTCTCATCAGCTTTCTCATGGGTGGCAAGCAGGTTTGGAGATTGGATTGTCCAGATCAGACTATATCCCTACCCTGAACTTCTTCCAAGATCCAGAGTCTTTCATATACCATATGAGTGTATGCTATGGTGTTCAGCCATTTTACGATCTTGTACAGCTTCCCGAGGTATGGAGAGATGTTCAGAGGACCAGCTTGCACCTTGATTGTGTAAGGGTCTTATATCTCAATGCAGCATTGTGAAGTCATCTTGTTTTCCTCCAAATTTCTGTCCCTTTGTAGACAGCTCACAGACTTCTTGTCCTTCTAAATCTGCTTCTGTGGGCCTCATCCCTCAGGGGACTAAAATCCTGCAGGATCACAGTATCTGTGTATGCAAGGTTAAATAGTAATACACTAGAGTACAAAGTTGACTTTTTTATTAGGTTACTCTAAACCATTACTGAGTTACAAAACGTTTTCACTGTTTAATGGTGATCTCATGCCTTAATTATTGAGATAGCAGGTGGAATGATGAGCCTATCTTACAAAACTGAGTTTATACATATAAAATATGCAGCAAGCTTGGTTTTTTCATTAGGAAGGCCAAGAGGAACTGCTGTATTTCTCTCTATGAAATTCATTAATGACTAGATGACAGGAGAAGAACACTTGAAAGTAAAGAAATTGTCATAAGATTAGCATATAACAAAATATAATCTGTCAATCCAACAACATTATACTTAAAATTAGAAGACTAAATGTATGAAGTAACATGCTAATGAGAATGTTGAGAATTTCTTAAAGGGATTATTTGGCATGTATTAAAAAGGCAACAGTCTTTGGCCCAGTGTTGATGAGCAGGCAGAATATGCTACTTCTTGAGCAGCAGAATTCATGGAAAGGCCTGAAGAAAAAAAATCAGACTCATACCAAGAAGTGTATGAGGGCTCAGCAGGAATCTTCCCATATGTCCTGGTCTGTCTTATTATTTGTATGTTGCTATGGATAAAAAAGGATCTTGCCCAAGTCTGTATAAAATACTCTGTTAAAGAACAAGAAAGTTATAATCCATGTTGAACGTTTGTTACTGTCTGAAGCTTTTCCTTTTTCAAGTGTATTTTGTCTGTTCTCTTTCCTCTAAGCATGTTCCATTTCATCATGGAAAAAAATGGTGAAGTGAGAAGCCTGGCTCATCTCTTAGTGTGGAAATGGCCTGCAGAACAGATGTTAAACTTTATACCTCAGGACATGTAAATTATAACAGAGAAAATAAAGCAGGGATAATGATACTCCACCAGGAAACAAACTAGATTCATGACAGAAAGAAATCAATTCACAGCTGAAAATGAGGGAGGAAGGAAGATGAAAATTTGTTTTGGTAACTTTTCTTCCAGCACCCTTCCACTTCCAATACAGGCTGAATTTCCTTCTCCAGCAGCAGCCAACCATAGCCATCTGTGACTAGTGCTGGTTTCTCAGCAGATACAATTTCTCCATTGGAAATGTTAAAGTTGAAAGAACTTAAAAAGAAAGCAGATGAGGGAGCTGACCTTTTGAAAAGAGATGAGTTAAATGTGTCAGAGATTATGGTTCTGAAAACAAAAGAGTTAAGAACAGGAGATAGCGTGTTGATGAGCTTGCCAAAAAAGAATAGCAGTTCATAGCTGCTTCTTTGGCTGATGTAACTAAACTGATTGGTTTAACAAGTTCATACATTTCTGGAAGGAATTCACAGCAAAGCACGTATTGTTACAGAGTGATTTCACAGGGAGCTCAGTATCCGAGAAGAACGGAAGGAAACTGGAAAAGTTAAGAGATGAAAAAGTAAATATTGCAATATCTTCCTAGTAGGATTGGTTAATTTTATTTCAGGAAAATGGATTGGAAACTGGAAAGCTCTGAGGCAAAGTCTTCCTCAGTGCAGTTGCTGTGTGCTCTAAAATTTTGAGCCCCTAACTGTACCTCCACTGTTTTCCCTTTCCTCTGTTATCTTGTGGAAATGTTATGCTATGTATTTCTTAAAGCAGGATATTACAGCCTAGTGATCTGTATCAGAAAAATCACTTTGTTAGCAGCACTACCTTTTATCTAGCATCACATTCAAGATAAACTGTAAAAAAGGTACCTGTGTATTCTTTAGACTGTCATTAGGTACACACAATTACTGTACTTTGGCTGCCTCTCATGTTAAGTGAGATGGAGGAACGAATTGGGCGAGTCAGGCACCTGCAGAAGTTGCTGAAGTTGCTCCCCTGGGGCAACCACTAGTAGCCTCATCAGTACCCGAGGGCCAAATGCCAGAATGAGAGTGAGATATAGGAGTCACAGAGATGAAATGTAATGAAAGCCAGTAGGGGAAGGCAAACTGACACAAGGCTACTACGTGCAGGAGCTCTGTGTTCAGCTGGATTCTAGGAGGTATCACCTGCCCTGTGGTTAAGCAACTTGCCAAAAAAAGTTGGTTACATTCCATATCAATAAATTTTCCAGACGATATTTCTACTTTGCCTATAAGATGAGAAGCCAGGGAAAAGGGGTCGATGGATGGGGGAAAAACATTTAAGGCTTAGTGCTGTATTGTAGCAGGATAAAAGCTTCATCTTGTATTTTTTAAAACAGTTTTTCCCAGAAAACATTTTTCCCAGAAGCATTTTGAGTCAGTAAAATTTCTGTGAGATAATGTAACCATTGCAGTGAGGGCAATCTTTGGCCTTTATTCACTGGTCAAAAACTTCAATCAGCCTTGGCTTGAAACGAGGACGTTTACAAAGTAAAGTTACCACAGTCCTTAATTTCTCTACCTAGGAGGTTTGTTGTGAAGCAGCTAATTTTGAGAACAGTGCACTTTAAAGTGAGGCCTGCAGCACTCTATGGGAGAAGTTTCTGTGACACAGGAAGCAGTGTAGGCTTCCAAAGAGAATCTTCTCTCTCTCAGGTTTATTACTCAGAGCTGATAAGTAAAACCAGGAGATAATTAGTGTATGATGTTAACTCATGCATTTCTTAGCTAGGCATTCTCAGGTTAGATTTATATTATGTCTCCTTCAGCTAACCGTTGCTTTAAGGAACACAATATCTTCCAAGGGCTGCTTCTTCCAAACCTGGACGTGATCTGTTGCAGTCAGTTGAAAAAGACTAATTTATTCTTATGGAAAGGTTGGCTGTAAACATTTAAATGTGACATAACAATGAGTTGGTGCATAATGTAATAACTGTTTTCTGCCACACAAATCTGTGTCATCTTTGTTTTCTACTACTCTTTTTGATGATGAGTACCTCCTATCTTTTTCAACATGGACTTTCTTCTTACTGATGTTCAAAATACAGAATTCATACTATGAGTACAAACTTGGTCTGGATTTTCATGATATTTCTTAATGCATATTTTCAGGAGAAGTTACATGAATTTGAACAATTTGAACAAAGTAACGCATTCTGACAGTGACTGCTATCGAGCACTTTCTACACATGTAGGTATGTAGTTATTTATCTTGATGCTTATGTGGGAACTCTAGAAAATCTGTAGCAATGATCTCTCCATTTCAAGCATCCACAGGTTGTTGGGGAAATTTTTTGAAGATATATACAACAGCTCTCTTAATAATGGCGATATTCTGAAGGAAATTAAGGTAAGAAGTAATCCTAAGATTTGTCACAACATAAATGTACCTACTTAATTGCTGTCTCAAATGTGTTATCTCCGTCTGTCCTTTACTACCTTTTTTTTCCCTCAGTACAGTTGGTACATTTAGCCCTTTTTATCTGCAGTGAGAAAAGTGTTTCTCTTGGGTTTTTGTGTTCTTCAGAATACTCTTCACTGTCCACTTGTTCTTGTATTAAAATCAAGCATACCCACTTAGCATCATTTATTTTATTTTACTTACTCATTTATGGTCTCAAGAAGGATGGCTTCCTCATCTGTGCTCCTTCTCCCACTGTACAGTGGTAGATTTTTTTTTTTCCCCTGGAGAAGAACAGAGAATAGATGCACATACAGGGAGCTTGCAGGAATTTTTCTTCCCATATCACATGCAAGAAATATGGGATACAAATTTAACCTCCCCCTGGTAGGACAGTGTCAAGCACCCCTTCCTTTCCTGTGCCTCCCTTACCAATATTGTCTTGTCTTTGGCAAAGGAAAAGGTACCAGGAAAGATGTATCCCACCACAGATGAGGAGCACAGAGGGTACCATGAGCACTAACTTTCCCTACACAGTCCTCCTAGGCTTTCCTCCCACCCTGGCTGTGGCCAGGAACCATTTCAGCCTAGCTTGGACATGTCAGTCTCTTCTTTTGAATGCATCCTCTTTTTGTTTTCCCTACTCTAAAACTAGTTCCTTCCTCCCATGCTAGCTTTTAGGGCTGGTGTTCTCCACTGATTCTGAGCAGACCCTTTGGATTTGCTCTAAGGATTTTGCCCTAGTTATCCCATCTCTTTTGCACTGAGTCTGGAAAATTCTCTTTGGTATTGATAGTCTGTTGAAATAAAGATGAAAGATCATGATGAATGTGACACAGCTGACAGCAAAAGTGCATTGTCTAGCATAAATAACTTGTCACTCAGTGACATGGCAAAACACCTGAAAAAATGGTCAGAAAGCTTAGGGTCTGCATGAATCTGAGTTGTCACGTTGGCTGGTTGTGACATGAAACCAGCCAACATGTTTGTTGTCTGCAACAAACCTTTTAAGTATTTATAAGTGGCAAGACGTTCTTTGAGTAGCTCTAGAGACTACCAGTATTTTTTGGTTCATGTCTGGCCATGTTATCTCTTAGTCTCATGAGTAGCTCATTCATAAGTTTTCACCATAATTCAGTTTTACTAAAAGTGTAATTTCAAAAATGTTGCTAGAAGACATGTATTTAGCAAAGGAAATACGCACCTGCTTGACTTCACATTTTACTACTGTTTATGCATTCCTACAAGCTCTGGAGTCTCAGGTCAAAGGAATAGAAGCAAAGTCCCCAAAGGCTCAAAAAATACAGGCAGCAGATTGGCAAGAGATAGATATGTCAATATTGTCCTGGAGAGAAACAGAGAGTAAGTGTTGCAAATACTTTCAACAGCTCATTAGCAAATGTGGAGATGGGCTAGAGCAGCAGCAAGTAGATAGGGTTCTTAAAGTTTTTACAAAATTCACGGCTTGAATGGAACACCAAGGAATTAGACTCTTTCAGTTTTCTTAATATACATTTTTGAGATATACTTTTTTCTCTTTCATCCCAGTTACATGGCAATCCTGCTCCAAACTCAGATCTGGCTTGCTATGCTCAAGTATTGGAGTTTGCGGTTGTTTAATCCTAGAGCTCTAATCTTCAGTCTTGAAAACCATCCTGGCAGGGGATTTTACGTACCATCTTTCCTGTTCTTTCCAGCTGCACTATCTGACAACAGGCTGAAGAATTAGGAAATCTTTGTTTCTCTAAGCAGTCTATTGCCCATTTTATCTATCACTTTTTTGTGTAAACATTACTTTACCTAGACTAGGTAATTTAAGAAGTCCTTATGTCTTTGCAGTAGTTGTTTCCATATTATTAGTATACTGTATTTATTTGGTGCTTTCAAAATGTGATTTGGATGATTCTGCAGTTAAGATATAGTGTGAAAGAATTTTTTGTTCTCTAGTTTCTGGTGATGTAAAAAAAAGATAATAGTGGCCCAGTACTCTATGCGTGTACACTTACCTATATTGAGAGAATTCATTGTGGCACTGTGGGATAAAGTCAAACTGGCTGAATTTAAGATGATTGGGGCATAGCACGGAATGAATATTGAACATTCATATGCAGATTTTGTCTAGGCTATGGAAATTGACTTTTGTTCAAAATTTTATATTTTTTTAAAGATAATGGGGAAAACATGATATTTTGTCTTCTGCTAAAGGGCTGAAAGGGAACAACAGTAAATGTCTGAGAATGATCTAGTGGAGTTACTGAGAGATTTGACAGCTATGTGTAAAAATAAATAAATAAATAAACAAATTGAATACCCTAGAAGATCTCTCAGTTCTAAATAGTAACTTGTTTCCACAGAAGCATAGGAACTACCTCTATCCTAATGATAAAATTCAAGCTTTGGAAAAAAACCTGCCAATCAAAATCTGAAAAATTTGCATGCATCAGTTACTACTGGGGGCATAAGACCATTTTTTTCCTTTGCTTAGCATGGAATGTACAAGAAGGGAAACCACCCTTGGAGACAGGGTGGGTGAGCAGAGGAAGACTTTAATACATGTCTTCTTTTATAAATAACATTGTTGCTATGGATGTTAGAATATGTGATAGTATTTTGGAAATCTGATGAGGAGAAGTTAGAAAATTGAAGTATATGCAAACTAAACTTTTCGGTTGGGTTGTTGTGTAGAGTTAAGTCTCAGTGTGTGTGTGGTCTCTAAGTGGTCTCCACATTCACATGGCCCTTAAGTAACTCCAGAGATGATGACTCTACCAGCTCCCTGTACAGCGTATTCCATAGCCTAACTACTCTTTCCATGATAAAATTCTTCCTGATATCTAATCTAAACTTCTCTGGAGTAACTTGAGACTGTTGCCTAATGTCCTATCACTTGTCACCTGAGAAAAGAGGCCAATACCCTCCTCATCAAAATCTTCTTTCAGGAATTAATAGAGAATGGTGAGGTCTCCACTCAATCTCCTCTACTCCAGACTAAACAGCCCCAGTTCCCTCAGGTGCTCCTCATATGTCTTATTTTCTACTCCCTTCATGAACTTTGTTGTTCTTCTCTGTGTGTTTGAGCAAGAACACATCCCTGTAGTGAGGGGCCCAGAACTGAACACAGTACTTGAAGTGCGAGGCCTCAGCAGTGTGGATTACAGAGAGACAACTTTTCCCTAGGCCAGCAGACCATGTATTTCTGATAAAAGCTAGGATGCTGTTGACCTTCTTGGCCTCCTGGACACAGTGCTGAGATGTGTTCAGCTGGCTATTGACCAGCACCAGCGGTTTTCTGCTTGGCAGCTTTCCCAAGTGAAACCTTATTAAATGCTGTATAACTGGATATAGCCTATCAACTCAGCCTATCCAGAAACCTCTGCAGAGCCTTCTTGCTCTTAGGCAGATCAACAATCACCATGAAACTTAGTGTCATATTCATGGTTACTGAGTGTACACTTAATTCCCTCATCAGTGTTGTTGATAAGAATGTTCGAGAGAACTAGCCACAGTACTGAGCCTTGGGGAGTACTGCTGCTAATTTGTTACCAAGTGGATTTAATTAAGTTCAAAACAACTCTTAAGGCCTGGCCATTCATTCAGTTTTTAACCCAGCAAACAGTACGTCTCTTCAAGACTTAAGCTGCTGGTTTCTCCAGAAGGCTGTAAGATGCCTTGTTAGGTCCAAGCAAACAGTGTTCTCAGCCTTTCCCTTGGCCACTAAGTAGATCACCTTGCCATAGAATGAGGCAGGACCTGCCTTCCATAAACTCATGCTAAATGAGGCTGATCACTTGATTGTCCTGAATGTGGTCTGCTCAAGATGGTCTGCTCCATGACATTCCTTGGCCCTGAGGTCAGACTGAGAGGTCTGTAATCTGCAGGATCCCCCTTTCTGCTTCTCTTTTAAGTGTTGTCGTGTTTGCCAACCTCTAATAAACGGAGACCTCCCTGATTAGCCAGGATTATTGAAAGTTTGTTGATAAGCATTTCCACTAACTGTATGTGTAACAATCTTCATTCTACATAAGAACTATGTGGTCATACATCATTTTGCATATGGTCTTGAAAATATATTTGTGAACAAATGCTTTCTTTTGTTCTAGATTGACGGATGAATTGTAAATGGTGCTGTGAATAAGAAGGTAAGAGATAGGAAGGTTCTAAGTAAAGTAGAGATGAAATACTGTAAAAATTGTGGCGCAAAAGTGCTCTAAATGGTCAGAAAGAAAATATTACCCCAGCTGTTGAATTTGTTTCCTGTTAATATGATCAACGTTGGCTGACAGATATCAGCAGCCAAATATCTCATATTTCTTTTACTCTTAGCCTTATCTGCTGTAACTGGTGGATGTCAATGAGGGACCTTCCACCACTGGAGGAACCTAGAGAGCTGTCAGACCATTTCTATAAATGATTTTCTCTCTATGAAAGTCACAGCACTATGTTAAAGATGTCTCAAGGGATGGAAACCTTCAACTAGAAGTGTGATAAATGGATTTTATGCTTATCATGAGTAGGTTAAGCACTAAATCATGTGACTTCATAGTACTTCCTAAGCTTCTTTTCGGCTTTCACTGGATCACTCCTGGTTCCTTTTGTTACTCATACAGTTGTCCAGTCCCTTTTGGGTGCTTGCATTGTAGTTTGGTTCAGGAACTGTAATAAAGTTCACAGTCTGTTTATGTACTTCTTCAATAAAGCAATATATTTTGATAAGACCTTTGGCCAGTGGAATCAGGACCAGGATCTTTGAGTTAGTCGTAAGATAAAATACCTAATCAAGGATAGATGTGGGAGGGTGAAAAGAAGAAATGAAGGATGATGAACTAGGAAATTCTAAAAAATTGGGGTAGAGTACAGTATAACTAGTTAAAGATTTAAAGGCATACCATACCAATGTATTTGATAGTAGTTAGATCACAATATACCTGAGCTGAATACATCTGCTAAAAATCTGTACTCAAAATATTTTCTTCCGGAAAATGAGAACACACCAATTTACTATAATGTGACAAATACGGAAATATCTGCTTTAGCAGTGATATGATATGCATTTAAACCAGCCCAAATTCTTCCCTACCCCAACTATTTTCTTGCCAATGAATGTGCTTCTGGATGCAGCTGCCGTGAATATGTTTGTTCTTACAGCGTGCTACAGATTTTGAATTTCAAAGCTTAAGTGATTTCAGACAATCACTTAAAAACCCCATAAAATCAATCATTGGCTCTATGTCTTGTGCAGGTCTAATGAATAAGACAATCAGAACTGTCAAGGCCAAGGCATTTCAAAGGAAGTTTTTGGCATAAAATGAGGTAAAAGTCATTGAAACTATGGTGAACTTTTCTCTCCCTCTCTTCCCTACCATGTACTAATTTTGAAAGTACTTATTCAGTTAACCTCAAACTTCCTCTCCCCACCTTCCTCAATTACACACTGAGGAATCAAAACCAGCCAAGTCAGAAAGATTTGAATGTCTCTGTTATTTTTGTGTTACAGCTCTATTCAGAAGTCTTAGCCATGAAACTGAGACCCAGATTTACCAACAATTGCAGGCACTTCAAGGAAGAAGGCTCTGCAAATACCCTTTTCTTTTTGGTTTGGAAGGTGAGGTGCTAAGCAATCAAAAAATGTCTCTTGAAACGTAACTTGAAATGAGAACCTTATGATTTTCTCAAACTAAAAAATGGGGACTTCCTTTTTTTTCAATTGAATATTTTCCTTATCTTTTGTAAATATAAAGTCATTAATTGATTCTCTATAGGTAGCATTTCTGTAAAGCTCTTCCAGGACTGGTAGCCATTCTGGCCCACAGGAGGGATAATCTGTCTCTCATTTTCACTGATGTGTGTGAAAGGAAAGGTTTTTAGAGAAGCTAGCAGCTGTTAGCTCTGGGAATGGGAGAGACAGGAAGCATGGCAGGGTACGGTACTTTCCTCAAACAAGGCAACGCATCACTCAAGTCAGGTTCATGCTCTACTCTGCCTTGCTTTTCATCAAAGCTGTCAGCTCTCACTGAACTTATTGATTGCACACAGATAATGCACCGCAGACCAGAGAGAGGCAGAGGGAGCTGACTGCTTGGAGAGTAGGAAATTTAGGCATTCTGGGATCAAAACAGGCAGTCTTTAATTGTTGAAACACGCTCATTATGCAACACAGTATCCTAGACCTGAATCTAATAGCATGGCACAAAACGATTAGACTGCAAGCTTGCCTAATGAGCTATGGGGTACTTTGAAAGCCCCTGCCAGCTCCAGGGCAGTCTGTGATTCACAAGGGTTTTCGATCTGCTCACTGCACCAGTCAGACAAGCCAGGCCACACCATTAGGAGATCTCACACAATAGGGAAGCAAGTTGTTCCACTTCTCCTCCATAGTTCTTTTGCCAGTGTCTTCCTTCCCCCCTCCTTTCTCCTCCGTTCAACTGTAGAGCCTTAGAGGCGTCACCCCTCACCCTAACACCTTTCCTATTTTTCACTGCTTCTTCTTTCAGATGAACACCAGTAGGTAAATAAAAGTATGGGGGCCACATGAAAGTGTCACCTTGAGCTGCACTGTTTCAAGTTTATTTGTGTTCATCCAGACCCTTGGAGTGAAGGGCACTGTTAGTTTGTGCTCTCAGACCGCCTCATTCTCTAGGTGTAAGGGGAAAGCTGGCAAGGCACTGTAGTGCATATCCCACTGCAGCAGAACAAATGTTGACTGGCTGCAGAGGAGTTCATGGACAAGCTCTGAAAAGCTGAAAAGATTTTTGACTTGAGGGAGACCCTGACTGGGCAGGAGTGTGAGATGACCATGCAAGATCTTGTCAGATCACATTATTCATTTGTTTTAATGAGATGAGTACGTAAGGTGATGCCTGTAAAATACAGAAGTGCATTATTTGAACTCCTAATGGAATACAGCATGTTTGTTCTGCACCATAAGTGCTGTTACCAGCTTCCTATGCTGGTGTGGGGTGCAGTGATTTCCCCCTTTGTCACATTCCTGTTGTATACAGAGATTGTCCTTATTTTTGCCTGAAGTGCTAAAGGGCCTTTGTTGGGGTGACAGTGAAATATGAGTAGCATATGTCATGCACCAATTAGTGTTCATACTGGCAGAAATTCTGTGTGGGTATAGTGGTTGTGAGCAAAAGCTGAGCAGGGACACTGTTGAGGGTGTTCCTGGCCCACGTGACTTGGTTACCAACATCTTGTACTTGGGTACACCATACACTGACAGTGCTATGAACTTAGCCTCAGGCACCAAGTAGCTTCCCCTTATAGTTCTGTCCTTTGAACTGTGTTGTTTGTGAATATGTGTGTTTATACTTCCAGAAACCTACAGGAGACAAAAGAGGATAGTGCAGACACCTCCTTTTGCTGTGTATCATTTTGAAACTATGAAGTAAAGTTGATTCTTGATTCTGTATTTCTATTACAAGTATAGGCATTGGTAGCCAAACGTACATAAAATAACTGATTATTGTTAGTTATTACCACTCTCCAAGCCAAGAAACACAGAAAGTCAAAAATATATCTACCCCAGGATGAATCTGGATAGGATTTCCAGTATTCTAAGTAGATTAACTCATGTAACCTTGAAATAAATATTGCAATGCTTAGTAACTTCAATGGGACAGACGTAGTTCTGATTCCCTTGGAAATCTAATTTCTATATGCTTAAATAACTGAATGTGATTGCAGATTATTCACAGAGGTATATATAAATGGCTGTATCTGTGAACACAAGATTTCAAACATACATAGGAAGCCATGTTTAAGTGTAGACTAAAGAAGATGTTAAGATGTATCATTGATATCAAATAATTATTTTTTAAAAAAGGAGAAATAATGGTATGAATGCCTTTTTTTTTTTTTTTTTTTTTAATTCACTGGGCTCCATCATTATTCCTTGAGCTGTCATTGTGACTAGTGTTGTGAAAGATGAGTTTTACTGAATACTGTGCAACCCAACATACTGAACTTGTATTCTTGTGATTTATTAATGTGCTAAAATTTGCATAATTAAAGAGGTCCGTGTGAGGCCCATTTAAAGTACAGAAGTTACATGCTTGCAAATTTCTGCATGATTAGCACATTCAGCATTACAAGCAGTATTCCTTTTCTACTGGCAGTTGCGTAGTTGCAAATAACACGTTTTCAATACAGTTACTTTTAACCTGTCCTTGTCACTGGTTATGCTAATAAGTGTTCCAGCTGTGTGAAACGAGAAGGTAATTTCATGCGGCTAAATAGATGCTAAAAGTACAGTCAGTAAGAGTAGAAAACTGAGTTTAAGAGTGTGTCACTCTTAATAGTGGGCAAACAGCAAAACGTTTATGTAGAGCTTAAGTTTAGATAAACATCTAAAAGGTCAAACATTTCTCTAAACTGCCCCAGAAGCAGAATTATTACCTGTTGACAGGACATAGAATTGATTAATTAACTATACAAAGAGAAGAACATATCTGCCAGAAACATCAAAGAAAAGCTGAGAAAAATGTGTAAGAAAAAATTGCCCAAAGTCTGTGTTCCTGTCTTTGTCAGTTCAAATATATATACATCTCTTATATCTTTATACCATACTTGGCCACCTTTAAATTAAATGATATATTAAATGTTGTTGTTTCCTCTGCAAAATTTTCTAAACAGCCATTTAAAATGCTACACTGAAGTGTTCTATCAAAGTACAAGACAGAAGTCTGGCACTTATTTCTAGAACATTTGTGGAGGATTGGAATGCTATGGCAGTTCTTGCTACAGAGATAGAAGCACTATGGAGCAATGGAAGGTGATAAAGAACAAAAAGTAGCTCACTCTTTCTGATGATCATTGACAGCTCAAGGAGAATGTGATCTCTATCTAGAGATGTCACTCCCTCAGCTGCTAACCCTCATAAGGATGAGGAGGGGTGGACCCAAAGTCCCCGCCTTCCAGGCACTCAGGTGCACTGCTTGGACCTTAATTCCCTGGGTTATCCATGTCTTTTCTCCTTTGTGCTCAACCACTGGTTAAGGTTGTGACCTGGCAATTCTCACACACTCCACTCTCACAGCAGGAACCAATGATTGAAAAGGCTGGGGATAAACTCCTACTCTTCTGTGATCCAAAATATACGTACATCACAATGCATGTACAATACCCATCATGATGTAGAATATCAAGGCACTGTAGATGATTTCTAACTATCTTTTGTGATTTTGTTGGGCCAGTACTTGGTGTTCCTTCAGGACGTATATCTTCTTCAAGAACCAGTAACAGTTCAGGTTCGCATTTACTGGTTCCCGAAAGTTTGACAGCTCACCACCAGATGTCATGATGATGACTCACGGACACAGGAGCATGTCGGAGTGATGTTACTCACACCAATGGTCCTGGGAATTTAACCACGGGAGTAGTACTCTATACAGACTCCCTACAGAGTTTAATTGGTACAACGAGGAGGCGTAGGTCTGTCCTCCCTAGTTGGATACAGGCCATGTTTCTGTCAATATCTCTCCTTGCACTGGGGCATGTTACGGCTTTTGGTACCACACCCTTTGGCCTGATATCTGTGGCTGGACCATCATATGGGTACCAAAGGGTGAGGGATACTAATTTGCCACTTGGTCATGATCAATGTTCCCTTTGCAATGAAAACTAGGGTATCAACTTTTATCTCTTCTAGCAATGTGCCGACTACCGGAGGGTTTACTGAACCCCCAGCCTTCAACAATCTCCCCCAAGGTGCAAGTAGGCCATACCATTTCAGTTCTACTTGTACTTTCCAAGGCCATTTTCCCTTATGTTCTCTGCATTCTAGGTCATCCAGGGCAGGGAGCAGAAGATTATTCATGGTGCCATTTTGCCACTTGAGTGAGGTGTCTTTACCTGTGAACAGGGAAGCGCAAGTTGTCTGCAACATTCTTAAGGTACTGGGTCTGGCGTCCCTTGGTATCTTATTCAAGTCCCACAGGGTGTCAAAAAGCCTATTGGTCCACCTCCACATGGACTGTGAATGTGCCTTCAGGATCCTGTTCTATCTTTCTATTAGGCCCGCTCCCTTTGGATTCTATTGCAGAAAACATTGCCATTTGATGTTGTTATCTTTGGCCCATTTCTGAACAGCTGCATCCATAAAATATGCATCACTCTTGATGACGTGTGGAGTCCTGTATGATATATCAGCTTAGTTCTTTAACAGTATACACTTGGTTTTCTTTTGGTACAAGATAGGCTTGCATTAGTCCAGTTGCTGTATTGACACATGTTAGAGTGCATCTGGCCTCTTCAGATCAAGGAAGGGAACCTATATTCAGTCTGCCACCACTGTAAAGATTTGTGTCCTCTAGTGAGATGGGTAGTTGTTTCCAGCAGAGGTCTTGGTCACATTCTTGAGCAAGTGTCACATTCCTGACATGCTTGGACAATATCCAAGTGTATGGGCAGTCCCCATGCTTTAGCCATGGGGACTCAACATGGTCCTCTTTCCTGCACATTGAAGTTTTTGTTGTAGCCATCGGGCAATGTCTTCTGCTGATGCATTTTCCAGTCATCCTATTGAAGCCAGTGTGTCAGTTTCATTGTTACAGTGGTAGATGTTTAGGGATGTGGTATGCCCGTATGTTCCTGTGT